CCCACAGTGGCCAGCCAGGGTGCACCTGCAGCCCCTCTGACCTCAGGCAGCCCTGGGGTCCACTCCACAGGCTTCCAAGCACTGCTCACACCTCTGTCAGACAAAGCCCCAACAGGGAGGCCGCTGAAACATCTACTCCTGTTTGTAAAGCCTCCCAGACTGGGAATAGACACTACCCGACACTTAGTATCAAACACACAGCTACAAAACACAGCAAGGCCAAGTGGATACTTCTGTCTAAGTGCCTAGATAACCAGGGAAGAGGCAGACCCAGTCGAGCAGAGAGCTCCCACGCGCTGCGCCTCCATGGCCTCCCGGCTGAGGCCGACTTTCCCGGACCATCTCCGGGGATCCCCGTTCAGACCCTGCCTCCCAGCACCCTCTCCCCGGCTGTCACTAAGGAAGCGCAGTGGGCAGAGCCTCCACCCCGTTTTAAAGCTGTGGATGGCTGTCCCCCAAGTCTAAGTGCCTGGGCACACCTCCCACTTTCTGCCAGCCTGTTTCTTCAAGTGCAAGATGCTTGGCTTTTTCCATATTTCAACGTGTTTTTGTTTGTTTTTCAAAAGAATTAACTGTATTTCTTATTAATTTGCAATAGGGCATGTGCACTCACCAGACAGACAGAGAGTGAAAGTGAAAAAGCAAACCACCAAGTCTAGGACTCGAACCAGAGTCAACCATGCAGAGTCCAACACCGGAACGGCCACGCCACCTGCTCGCCCTTTTAGCCTGCTTTTAAGTTTATACATTTATTTCTCCCATGAAAGAGAGAGACGAAGAGAGGCAGGTCCTTTCAGCGGGGTCTTCACAGGACAATCCACCCCCACCCTCGGCCGCCCGGATTGTCAGCACACACGTTTGTACCTGGCCTAGAGAGGGCGGCCCCAGACGAGAACTTGGGCCCTGCCTATGCAGGTCCAGGTGCACGATCACTGTCCCCTGAGCCGGCACCCCGCTATCCATGCCGAGGCTCCACGCCCTAGGAGTCCTCCCCGTGTGCACACACACACGCACACACACACACACACACACACACACGCAGAGGCTGTTACTAAAGGGGTCGGCAC